CACTAGAACAATAAGACCTGTACTGAGTTTAGTTATATTTGGTTATGAAGTCATTTTTGTAAAAACCAACCTCTAGGTTCCAAAGTTCCATGTGTTACCCTCACCCGTTCCCACAGTTGCACACATGCAATATTTTTTATTTTCTGTTTAGTTTAAAGTCCTTCGATCAACATAATAACTGAAGGTATGTGGGGTGATATTATAGACTCACTTTTGGGACCTACTGTATGAATGCATATATCCATATTCCAAGGTACAAATATACATAAAAACAATCTCTTGATGGTAGGACACATCACCAAGTCCTTTTTTATCCATTATTTCACTTGCTTTTTGTATAACAGCTTAGTGCTTGTGAGTTTCCTGAGTGTCTTAAGAACTCTTACTGATAGATATTAGCACAATGATTAGCACTGAATAATTATATATGGAAGATTTGCAAATGATTTATCTCTCTTTATTCCAAAGTAATCATGCTGTGTTTTCTGAATTTACTTAGATCCCTAAAGTGGGTATCTAGACAAAAGTCTTTTTTTACCATTTTTTTCATCAGTCTTGTCACTTCTCAAATGGAAATATTGCTACTATTACTAATAATAACACCAATTTTACCTTACTGGACTGAGGTAGAGGGTAAAATCATTAATCTGCGTGAGAGCATAATGTGTATAACTGGTCCTAATTGTAAATACATAATGTACTTTTTAAGTGACCAGATTGTCAGCTACTTAAGTCAAGGTGAATTCAGCTTAATTAATAATTTTTTTTTACTGTTTCTTTAAACTTTCTGAGGTACCTTCATGTTTACTTTCTTCTGTTTACCCCATAGTGATTGCTGGCAAGTGCTGTATGTTTAATAAGCTCTTGTTGATTTATTTTTTAAAGGCACTACTGATATTTTTGCTTAGGATCCCTAAAACCCTCTTATTTAATTTCTAGATCATAAGTTCTTTTGATAGAATCCTTATAAATATCACATGAAGAAGTTGAGCATTACCTTTAGGCCAAAGCAATTTACTTTTCAAAAATCTGATTAATTTCAACACAATCAGCGAGGATGTCAGAAGATCTCAGTGCCTCTGATAGATGCTGACAGGTGAGGAAATTAAAATCAGGGAGGGAAGCAATTAAATACTGGCAAACATTACTTTAATGAGACAACCAAATCATTCATAAGCCATGGAATATGTTGTATTCATGATAAGTATCTTAGGGAGGTGGTGAGAGAGTGTGTTTAATGTTCTTCATGGAGGTTTGAGGGTGGCGGAGGACAGTCCATGTTTGTCATCTATTCCTTTTGCCCTACCCTAACATTTCAATTGCTTTGGGGGACAGATGTCCTAATAATCATGCTTCAGACTATGACATTGTTTAATTTAAACACATCTTAGTACAAGTAATCCTTTCACCACCACATAAAACTTACCCAAATGCTCACAGTCTAGACAAAAAAAAAAAAATGCTGGCCTTTCACAGTGGTTTCGGGATAACCATGGTCAAGGCCTGTGCAAAGAGAAACAAAAATGTATATTTCTTGCAAATTTATATTTGGGAATGATAGGGCTAACAGCAGAACCCGGGTCCTCAATCCACATGCCAGTGTTGTTTTCAAGGTATCACTCCCTTTTCAGAAAGAACATCTGGGACCACAGGGCCGAGGAACTACCCATTTATGGGATTAGTGCGAGTGTCAATAGGTTATATCATATTTTGCATTGGTACTATAGCACTCATAAATATTAAGTGTTAAGAGGCACCTTTACATTGGCCTCAGCAATCTAATGTTAGTTGGTTGGAATTTTTGTTCATAATGTTAGAATCATCATGCTAAAGCAATATTACTTGAAAATTATCTTAGGGTGACGTGGTTGATTCAAAAGGTAGCATGGTTTGTGAAAAACTTGTTGAAACAGGTCTTTCTGACCTTTTCATTTATCATGTTCTATTCTTTTCTGCTTTGTTTTCTTTTTCTTTGTTCCTCATCATTTTTTCTTCCACTCATTTTTATTTTTCTGGTTTTATTTGTTCCCTCCTGTTTGCCCCAAAATGTAGCAGAAATTATCAGTTATTCTATATTAGTCCCAACTAGGTTTGGCGAGTCTTGCTTTTGCATGGATTCTAATTAATAGGTGGAAGTTTTGTGAGTTAGAGGTTGATCGTTGTTGTTGTTGAAGTTGCTTCTGGAGATGAGAATATTTTTCTTGGGACAGGATGGGTGTTTTGCCAGACTCTGGTTCAGCAGTCATGAAATACACAGACGCAGCCAAGGATACTGGCTCCACTACCAAGATGCTAGAGTGGGATTTGTCAGTTGTCCCAGATGTCTTTCTGGGTTTAGTGGAGAACTCAATGGCATTAGGCAACACTCAGGAGTCACTGAGGACACATGCCACTAAAATCATGTGCAGGGGACTGGTGAACTTCTTAGCTGGAAGACTTCCGCTTTTCTACTGCTTAAGATGAGACTTACTGATCAAGGCCCCTTCATGAAAGTTTAATGGTGTCAACTTCTCTGTTATTTCTGTGGCTTGTGTTTTGAGAGCTTGCACAAGGATGTTGCATCTTTGAAACCTCACTGGGGCGAGCTGAGAAAGTGTTCCTGGTAACCCTGCATCAAATACACCTTCTGCATCAGCTTAGTAATGTGTTGCCCTCTGGTTAGACCACAAATGTGAAGGCTTCTTTCTGTCCTTTCACTTGCTAATGAAGCAGGACTCAATACTAGATGTTTTTTTTTCCCCTGTGTTTTGTTGTTGTTAATCCTCACCCAAGAATATTTGATATTTTCCATTACTTTTTTCCTTTTTTTTCTTAGGAGTGAAAGGGAGGGAGTGAGGAAGGGAAAGAGAGGAGAGATATGTGAAAGAGACACATAAGTTGGTTGCCTTCCAGAGATCAAACTGCAACCAGATATGTGCCCTTGACCCGGAATCGAACCCGTGACCCTTCAGTATAAAGGCTGACACTCTAACTACTGAACCACACTGGCCAGGGTGATACTTAATGTGTTTTGGTGCCTTGACAATTTACCTTCATATAGTATATACTCATTTCCCTTTTCCTTCCAAATAGAGCACTCGCAAATGGGAGCTGCCCTATGAGTAGGAGGGCCCTTACTAGATTTGGTGGTAAGGTACAAGGTTACTTTTAAAAAATATATGTTTTTATTGATATTTTTAGAGAGAGAGGAAGGGAGAGAGAGATAGAAACATCAACGTGAGAGAGAAGCACCGATTGGCTGCCTCCTGCACCTCCCCACCAGGGATCGGACCTGCAAGCCGGGCATGTACCCTGATTGGGGATCGAACCAGGACTTCTCAGTCCATGGGGTGATGCTCAATCCACTGAGCCACACCGTCTGGGCCAAGGTTACTTTTTTATCTGTTTCATATTAACCATATAATCCTTGAAGATAGGTTTTGATAAAATTAGGGTAAATAAGTCTCATTGGAGTTATAGTGAGGATGATTTGAGATAAAACGGTCATAAAATATTTTTCATGCTATGAAGTAGAATGCTAAAAGATGATTCATGTTTTGATTTTGGTGGCATATGACAAGAATTTATTGTCATGCATCCTATCAACCATGTCCTGTTCTCAATCTGATTGGAGTCCTATATAAAAAGGATATATTACAAAAACTTCCCAGAGGTCATATACTGCTCAGTAAATTTATCCATTGTATTAAAGCAAATGCTTTCATTGCAGTCCAGTTGGATGTACCATCTCTCTGACCCTAAGGCATGATGTAAAACTCCAAAAGGACTTGAGATACAACTGTGGTCTAGTTTTGCTGTTGTTAATCCTCACCTGAGGATATTTTTTCATTATTTTTTAGAGAAAGTGGAAGGGAAGGAGGGGGAGAGAGAGAGAGAAACATCAATGTGAGAGAGACACATCAATTGGTTGCTTCCCTCACAACCCCAACTGGGGCTGGGGATCAAGCCTGCAGTCCAGGGTTCTGGGAAACCCTTTGGTTCCGTTGAGCCAGACCTGCCAGGACACACATGTGGTCTTTTACTTAAAGCAGTACCTCTTGCTTTTGGGATTGAGGAGTCACTTGATTTCTAACTTGAGGCTTTGGCTTTGGGGACAAAAGTTCTTTGTGTTGTTGTTAGGTCAGGCCATGTAAAATTGGCATAGAGAAATATTATGGTATTTTAAAACTAGGGACACAAAATCCCAGTCCAGAGATATTCCCTAGTATGGTGTGCTTATAACATCATTCTTTGATCATGAAAACGTAGTCTTATAGGAAGATATATTGAGTGTACCACCACTGTTCATATCTATCGATGTGAAATAATGGAGGACAGTCTTCCAAATAATGTTTAAGTGAGCTTTGGCTATGAAGTAGATATTATAATCCTCATTTACATATAAGGAAATTGACACTCAGTTGAAGTAACTTGCCTACAGCCATTGGTTAGAGGAAGACAAGTCTGACCAGCTCCAAATCCCATGTGTGTGTGCTACTTCCTCGTGTCAGTCAAATAGCTAGTTTTATTTTATCCTTCCTCCTTTCACCCAGCCTAGTGGATCAAGTCAATGAGCTGTTTGTCTTTGTATTTTCCCAACCTAATGCCTTAAAAGACATTGAGGTATAAAGGACAAAAGCCACAAGACCAAAGAGTCCAAACTCACACCTTGCCGTGTATATACTGTATAGTCTTGGCAAATTATCTACCTATTCTGCCCTCAGTTTACATCTGTAAAATGAGTATGATAATACCCATTTCACATGGTATGTGTGAAATTAATTGTGAGAGAGATGTTTGTTCCCTTCTCTATCCCTCTGTGATCTTCTGTTTCTTTACTGATGAAGTAGAATAATCTCTTCCTGCTTCTTCATCATGTTGGTGGGGGATGAAATGAGATAATGAATGTGAAAATGTTTTTCCAAATAAGAAGCTGCTATGTAGATATGAGTTCATGATCTTTTATAAATAAATATAGCTTAGTGTCTAAGAGTAACTTTTACCTAATCTTTCGTTTACAGACACGAGCATTGCAGTTTGCTGAACCTTGTGTCCACTGACCATTCCAAGAGCTATTATCTGAGGTAAGAGAGGACTGGCTTCATGCTTATGAAATGCTAATAAGCATCTTAGCCAATACTGTTTAAGGTTGATTTCACTCCCAACAGAAGAAACACAAAGGTCTTTCATGAACATCAAAACTGAAAAATGGCCAAGACAATGAACTGCCCTCCTTTGATGTCTTCCAGATTTAATTTTCCCTTTCAAATTTGAGCCCTTAAGGTTTAATACAAAAAGCTCAAAAATCTGGGCCACACAGCAGTATTTAATTTAATGAGTACTTAAGTGTCTGTAATATGCCATGTGCTAGAATGTTCTTATCTATTGCCTTCTTGTATGCCCAGCTAGTGTGTGGCAGGAGAGCTTCCTCTCTAGTTTATGGTCCATTTTTTAGTGTGTTTTTCACTACATGATGTTACCACTGTTATCTAGCTCTGAAGGGGCCAAACTGTACTAGTGATGTCCATTACCATCTCTTAACTACCCATTCCCCCAATCTCAAAAAGACATAATCCAAGATTACAGCAGCAACAAAAATTCCTAATAAGAAAATGAGTTAGAGTCTTCTGAAACCCGGGACCCATAATATCTTCAAGCCCCTGTTCTGGGGGACCAGTGTGAAAGAAATGAGCCTTTCACTGAATGCATTCTTCTCGAATTTGTCAAGAAAGTAGAGGCCAGGAAAAAAGTAGGAAAGAAGCATGATAGTTGTAGAATTTGCAGAATGTGAATTTTCTCCTATGGCTATCTAGCTGATATCTGCACTTCCAGGTTCACGCTGTTGTGTTCTCAGTCATGGTTTAGAAGTCTTAGGCAGAAAGAGGTGAAGTAGTCAATATGGTATTCCTAACTGCAGGGTTTGTAGAATAACATCTTTGTGGAAAATCTGATATCAACATAAAAATAATGTAAATACTTGTCCTGTTGGATATTTCTATTTTCTTTATGTTGTTTTCATGATTGTGAACTTGTCAACATGACTTTAGTTCCATGGACCTTGAAGAGGATTGAAGTTCGTTGGTGCTGCCCCATATTTGTAGGTGTTAGCGGTTTAGGGTTAAGTGGAAGCTATGGTATTACATTAATATGGTTTTCAAAGCTAATATTCACCATACACATTGAATAAGAAACACATCATATGCAAATAAGGTAGGTGACCTATGGATGGCGAAACTCCTCTGTAATCAGGTCAGATGTCACAGTCCCTTTTGTTGGTTAGATTTTATTCTTGTGACTACAAAAGGAGGGTTAGCAGAAATGATAGTGGCTAAAAGTACAGGAATGGCTCCTGCCAGTCATTTGGTCCCTCTGTAGTCCATGAAACACCTCTGGAGAAAAACTTCTTTCTCATGTAATTCATGTATTTACATGGATACATTTATCAGGAAAGAACACACTGTAGACATGTAATATCACAAATTTTGATAGTTGTGAGGTAGATATCTAACTTGTTCATTTAGAAACTGTAAATATTAGATTAACTTTTCTCCAAATGCCTATTGTTAAATATTAATAGAATAAGTGTTGAAAAGTGGTTAACTCTGCCCCTCCCCCCTTTCCACTGAAACCCATCTTGAAACTACAGAGAGGAGTTTAAGCAAGCCTTGAAAAATCAGGAAAATCGCTCATGAGAAAGAGGGCTTTCCATCTCTCTATCATCTATCTATCATCTATCTATCTATCATCTATCTATCTATCTATCTATCTATCTATCTATCTATCTATCTATCTATCACTGATCTATATGTTCTCTGTTTTTTTGAAATGTGGGTGCTGGTGGGGAGAGAAGGATAAAATCTTCTCAAATAACCTTTGGAAGGTGGAGAAGTAAAGTTTCGTGGGGCATGCTTCAGAATTTAAAGTAATCTTGTGGCAATAATTGATATCAGTGGCAGTAATGAAGAGAGAATAACACTTTAAATAAATAATTAGACTTGACAGTAGATGTGTCAACAGGTACCCACTTAATGAGTATAATCATTGTTTTTCTCTGCTCTTAATGTTATTCCACTGACTGTGGTGTGTTCCCTGTCCCATTTCCAAACCAAATCTATTTAAAGCTGCACTTCATGGAATCTGAAATGGTATACCCCATCTACTATTTAGAGCTGATACCCAATGTTCTTTAATAGGCAAGATCTGTACTTGAACTAGAACAGTCTTCTGGTCTCCTGCAGACTGTTGATTGTTTCTGTTTTCCACAGTGTGATTCATTAGCAAGGATGACTAATACCCACTTAATTCCTATGAACTTGTTTCTATTGCTGAAGTGACTTATTTATTACCTTTTGATGGAACAACCCTAGTTTGCCTTAAATCAAACTAATCAGTTATTATTTTCTGAGGTGGAGTTAGAGGCAGTAGTTTTAAATTAAATTATTATTATTTTAGTTAGCTGGATAGGATATCATTGTTTTGGGGAAGTGAAGCATAAGTTTTATGTTACGGTATGTAAACCGGATGTCATGAGAATCTAATTCTAACCCCAGCTCGAAAGGTGTCACCTTGGGCACGTCACTTTCCCTCTGCAGGGTCACCTCAGCATCTCACAACAGATGGAGTAGGACCCCTGATTATGGCATTACTTCTAGTCATATGGCCTACTGTCTGCAATTGCATTTCCTAGCCTGACCTTTCTTCTCCCTCCTGCTGCCATGTTTCCAAAGTCACAGGAAAATTCTAGGACTTCTAGGAAGCCTGTGTGAACATAGTTATTCTTCTATTTAGCTTTTGAATCTTTTACACACTAGAAGAGCAGTTAGGGATTTGAATGATGTGCTGTGATTGGGCATTTGTGCATTGGTTACCCGCTACCTCCAGTGACATCCAGTTTCTGGTTAGAAAGGGAAACTAAATTACTCTTTCCCCATGTTTCTCCACTCCATCATCTGGTCTCATTCTTAGAGGATCTGGTAAACTTATCCACTGGCAACATCAATTCATTCCTTGTTCTGTTGTTTGACTTTTCCAGGTTGCGTCATTGACCTGTAAGGAGAGTTCAGAATGTCAGAGCCAGAGGAGACTAGGAATCAATCTAGCTAACTTCTCTCATTTCAGATATAGAGATTTGGTGATCAGGGAGGGAATCCAATTTGTCTAAGGTATCAGTGGCAGAACCTGGACTAAAATTCTTTCTTCTGACTTTATAGTTGTATCTCTATTTTCGGAGAGAATTCTTTCTGTAAACTGTCCTTTCTCAACCCAATAAATAAAGGGTCATTGTCTTTCAGGTAAAACCAATGTCAACGCAGGGATGTGAGATACCTTAAAACATAAATGGATTATAGGCGTCCATTGGGGCAGTGGAATAGAGGGTTCTGGCTGACTTCGGCCCTCTGTGTTTACTAGGAGAACATGGATTCCCCTGTAGTTCTTTCTGTAAGAGATGACTTGACCCTGACATCACCCCTCTTTCCTCCACCCATCTTCTGGTCTGCCCTTTTCTGATCCAAAGAATGATAGGAAGCTGAGGATAAGCTCCTAGCTGGCTGTGTGCTGTGCATAGCTGTAAACATCAATAAAGAGGAGCTAGATGAAGGATTGATAATCAGGAGGACAGGAGAGTAACAGCCAACACAGTGGAATCGAGTCCAAGGCCTGCAATTCCCGGTCGCTGTGCTACACAAGGTTAAGAGGAGCATCTCTCATTCTTTCAGGCTTTCTCTCCACTTCGTTCTTGTGGGACTGGGTTGGGACCGAGAAGCAGCTGGAACGATCTCTGCCAAAACGAAACTCATGTTTTCATGACATTTCTAAGTCCAGAGAGGAGAGTAGTAATTATCCATTAGTTAGAAGATAACGTAGAGGCCAGTGGATGTAAACAGTAATCATGGTCCTCCTAATACTGAGAGACAAAATGTGGAAATCGTTTTACTGAAGCTGAGGTTCCGATTCTGCCTCTAATTAATCGGCTGGGACTTTGGTAAAGGGATGATCTTCCTTTGAACCTCAGTTTCTCCATGTATGGTACGGGAGAAGGGGGGAGTGGAAGAGCTGAGGGCAAATGTTGCCCCAGCCCTGACTTTCACAAGTCTCTGATTTGCCCGAAGTCCCATCGCAAGTTTGCAGTTGAACCCCGTCTTGAATTCAGACCCCTCTCTCAGGTTTGGAAGTCATCATTTTGATGACTTCTGCTGCTCATACTCTCTAAGTCACGTGTTTGCATTTCTCAGCCTGTTTTATTAAATAAACATTTCCTCTCTCAGTTGACGGGTCCTTTTCTGTGAAGGGACTTGCCTAACACCATTGTTCTTAATTTGTGTGTGTGTGTGTGCATGTGCTTGAGTGTGTGTACTTGGGAAAGGATTATGGAGTATTTGAAAACTCATATATGAATCTACAAAATAGAAAGTGCACATGTATCTAGAATGTTGTCTATAATTTTAGTTTTGTAGACCTTTGGAAGGCCACACATAGGTTCTAGGGTAAGGAAAAGATCATTTGAATGTGGGAAGTCAGAGATGACATTTGGGTAACACACATTTCCTACGGCTGTGGGGTTTTTCCCACAGTTCACCTATGTTTCTACTCTGGGTCTCAGCCTTATTTGTGAGCATGACTCTGGACTTTTATTTATTTCAAACAGTTGAGTAATGTTGTATTCACTCAAATTATTTATAACATTGAATCTGCTAAATGTTAGACATTTTAATACATTATTTTATTTAATCTCATAAAACAAAATTATTTTTCCCATTTTTTTATATGTTGCAACCAAAATCATCAGAAAGGGTGGGTAATTTGCCCAAAGTTATTGAGCTAATAAATAACACAGTCTGGCCCTGGCTAGTTGGGCTCAGAGGTTAGAGCGTCAGCCCTGGAACCGAAGGATCCAGCCCTGGTCCGCATTGTGCCAGAGGCGGCCACTTGATGTGTCTCTCTCACATCAATGTTCTCTCTCTCTCTCTCCCCCTTCCTCCCTTCCACTCTATCTAAAAATCAATTGAAAAATATCCTCAGATGAGGATTAACAATAAATAAATAAATAAATAAATAAATAAATAAATAAAATAACACAGTCTAG